GGGAGAAGAACCCACTTATAATCGGATAGTGCCGCTCCTAACGCTCGGCGGCGCTGGCCCTAGCGGCTGCGGCGCGCGCGGTAAGAAGAGGAAAGGAGGCGTATATCACGGAAATCGACTGAAATGTTCAGACTAATTCCGAGCACTGCTATAGAGAATTAATACATTATTCATACATTTGCTTACATTATGCTCTTAATATGTTTCAGTTTTAGTTTTATAAAGTGTCATGATCGCAGTTTATATTTTTAATCATAATAATTATAAGTTTTAAAATTAATTTAAATTAATTAGTTTAATATTTACAATTAATGAAAATTCAGTTAAATTATTTTAATTCATACAAAAATATTTGGAATTAAGAATTAAAAAGATGTGTCATTATAATATTTTGTTTTTGCAGATTTTCGATAATTTTAATATACATTTTGAATACATTATATATAAGTTTAAGAAATCTTGATTATCGAATTTAACTGATAGGCGTTATATTTTCTGATTAAACAAGCGAATATAAAAATTACTACATAAAATAAAATGAACATATAATAAGCGTTTGTATTAAATATAGTTCAGTTATATAATAAAGTTGTATAATAAAATTGTATAATAAAGTTGTATAATAAAAAAATCGTCTTACATGTGTTGTAGCACGTATTTCGTTAATAATAAATTTATTTTTTTATTATACTAAAAGCATTATCAATTCTATAGGTCAAATATAATTAGAAAAATTAAATTGACAAACTTGTATTTTACCAATAATTATTATTATATTAGAATCATAGTTCAGAAAACTCTAATAATCTAATAAAAACTATATAGTCATAATAAATCTAAATTACCTAAAGTACAATAAATGTCTAAGATACATGTACGACCAGCTAAACGTAGAAATATAAGAAATAAAAATTAAAGTAAAATATTGTAACTGTGTTGAATAATTTATTGTCGATAAGACAAATTTTGTCTTACGACAATAAGACAAAATTTGTCTCTACCAAAGAATTGATTGTTAGTTCTTAAATCGTTTTACTTTATAAAATTATAAGTACAGTTTATAAATTTCGAGGAGACTACACATGAGTAAAATATATTAAATAAATTAAACATATTTACTTAATTAATTTCGAGAATGTAACTTTGTATTTTTCATAAAACGTAAATTTATAAATATATTTATAATTTTATCAACATAAAACGAATAATTACAAGTCCGAGATATATTATTTCTTTTTGATATTATAGATTGTTTGAATATCCAAGTCAAGACTGCCGATAAGTGCTGGTTGTCGTGTTATTTGAACGCCGTTAGCATTATTCCCATGATTTTTAGATTAATCTATAAAAACATATAATAAAAATCCATATGAGAAATAGGCTTGTATGATAATATCGTATTAATATATAGGGTGATTCAAAATAACCTGATGCCCTTGCAATGCCATATTCTTCAGCGAATTCTGAGACGATTTTTCCTTTTATAAAATTTTGTCCAAAGCTTAGTTTTCGAGTTATAATTGAAAATAGATAGCAACTTACGAGTTCGGTACAACGAGCAGGCAGGGACGCGCAACGTATAATGAGACGTCAAGCGTTTACTATCGTCTCATGACGCATTGCACCGTCCCTGCCTGTCCGTTATATCGGACTCGTAAGTAGCAAACTATTTTCAATTGTAACTCAAAAACTAAGCTTTGAACAAAATTTTGTAAAAGGAAAATTGTCTCAGAATTCACTTAAGAATATGGCATTGCAAGAACATCAGGTTATTTTGAATCACCCTGTATATATTAAAGACTTCTCGAGGTATCGCTGGTTGTTAGTGCGAACTACAACGACTGACGCCCTGATATTTCCTCTCTCGTTCTTCCTTCCTTTCAAATAACTTCCTTACTTTAATTCGTATATTCTGATTCTCGAAAATGAGATCGATGTATGGATTTCTCATACACTTTAGTATGTCGAATCTGAGATCAGTGAATACTTTAATGTCTCAATGCAGACGAATCAAGTTTCTATATAAAACATTAAAAATTTTTTTGTTCTTGCACTAACAACCAGCGATGGCTCGAAAAGCCTTTAATATACATATTTCTGTAAAAATCTTTATAATATTTGCTTGAGAAATTAATTGTTTGGCAAATGTATGATTTTGTTCTGCAAAAATAATGGAACAATTTCTAAGATTAGTTATATGCATGTATAATGGTTTTGACAATAATTTCGATGAAATTTATTGTTACCTTTTTTGCAGTTTTGTTGACTTCCTGACAGTTCTGCTGTGTCATACGTTCTTCGCGTACTTGTTAGCTTCTGCCAATGTGTGTCTTTAAAATGATGTGTATGATGATTAAAATGCGAATTAACGTCAAGAGATATTTCGGTAAAACAAAAACTACATTGCACCTCAAAATCACCACTCTTTTTACAGTACTTCCACACCCAATCATAGTCGTTCTGATAATAAGCGAGTGTGTCGGGAGGATGACAATAATCTAAGTGAAGTTTCAAATACTGCAACTGAGACGGTGAAAAGACATCTGGACAGTAAAGACATTGTGAAGTGTATTTAGCATGATACTTGAAATATATCCACGGGTATTCTCTTCCGTTTTTTTCTTCGTATGAAGTAACTTCTACATGTCTCTCCCTTACATGTAGACTAAAGTTTGTAGTATCGATATAACATACTTGAAAATCGCAAGATTTGCATTTTGCTTGAAAATTGCTCAATATTATGTAATTTTGCAATTGTTCACTTTTATTTGCGATAGTCGGTGGCATAGACATTGCGTCCGTTTGTATACTTCTCAATTTCTTTAAATGTGTTTTACTTTTTACATGATTGTACATTGTTGCAGAAAGAGAAAAAGTTATAGTTTCGCTACATGTCACTACTTTACACTTTACTGTAAAATCACTATTTTGTGTAAAGAATTCTATTTTATTTGTGGATGTTTCATAACGTGCAATTTCGTCCGCAGAATGCCAGTGAGTGTTATACTTTTGAGACGGAAGATGTTCAAGACAAACACGACATCGTAAATGAACATTGTCATAATATATCTCCGGCTTTCCTTTTAGTCTTTTGTTTGCTAATGATATGAAATATTTATTATGCTTTATATATAAATGCTTTGATAATTTTCTAGTATTAATGTACATCATACTTGATTCGCAAATCTTGCACTTTGCTCGAAAAAACTGTTCCAAAATTCTTTCATAATGATACCACACGTTGTCTTTAGTTATATCCACTTGTGACATTGTGCCTGTTTCAACTGACCAGACGCAGATGACTGAATACGATATAAGAGTCTTACTATCGAAAAGTTAGAAGAAAACAAAGAAAGATACAAGGTATACTTTTTCATTTAAATGTAAATATTGATATGTCGATCAGGTCTATTCAACAGTTATCAAAAAATGCCACGCGGTGGCATCTCACGTTCACCGTACTAGACATGTTACAACTTATTTTTTGAACAAATAATATTTAAAAAATATTATATATTTAAAGATTTGCTTCTTAAATAATTACTATATCAAAGAATTACGTGTAATTTGCGATATACAATGATTGCAGAAATATAAAAGTGCGTATCTATCTTCATATCACGTAATATATATTATCCGAATATATTATACAGTGTGTTATAAATTTCTTGGTTTGTAATATGATTTTTTAATAATTTTACAAATATTTTGTTAAAACTATATTGCTAAAAAAAATATTACGAATTTATTAGTACATTTTTACGTTTTCTTTTACTTCGCTGTTTTTTGATAAGGAGCAAAATATAAAAAAAAAATATACAGAAAAGAAATTTTAAATAGTTTTTTGAAAGAATTTAAATTAAATAGATATTGTAAATTAAATACAAGCACAGGAAAGCGAATAAATGGCAGCATAGTAACTAATAAATCTTTATTAATTAATCCACAATGTTGAACAGGGTGTCCCATGGAAAGCTGCTGAAATTAATTAGCTGCCATTTTTAAATTCGCATCAGAAGCAAAGAAAGTTAAATATCTAATAAATAGCAAAGGACATTTTGCAGTTATTGCATTATTTCCATATAAACTAATTTAATTAAAAACAATATTCTTACCATTAAATAAACGTTTATTAAAAAACGTCAAACATCAATAATTTTAATGGTATATATTTTCGAAGTGCATACCGTCAAAAGTATAAAAAAAATTAAGCCGGAACTATAACTCTAACTTTAATTTTTGTATCATAAAATTTTTTTTATAGTTTTCAAAAACGACTTATTTTTTTGTTATAGTTCTGAACGTTCGCACTTCAATAATATAAACCATTAAAGTTAGCAAATTTTGGCATTTTTTATAAATGTTTATTTAACGATAAAAATACTTTCCATTGTTTTTAATTTATATATACATGAAAAACTGCAAAATTCCCAATGTTACAAGATATTTTATCTTCCTTGCTTTTTATATGCGTTTAAAAATGACAACTAATTAGTTTAACAACTTTTCTTGGGACACAATGTGCTATCATTTTCGTATTAGGTACACTTGCAAATGATGCTGAAAAACACAAATGTATCAAATTGTGATTTTATTTCTTCTCAACAAAAGATTTTTATGGCGCAGTTAGGTAAGTCCATATCTATATTTTAAAGACTGAATTTGCGAACTGAAGATTAAATTTAGATGAATCAAATAAATTTAATTATAGTGTATTTTGTTCTAACAAATTGAATTTTAATCTTTAATTTGCAATCTTTTATTTTTAATAAATGATTTAAATTAACATATGTTATGAACCGAATGTCGGATTTGCAGAAAAATCGCAAAAACGTTGGTCTTTATTTAAACTAAAATTTTTGCATTATTTGCGCGATTCTTTTGAAGATCAACATTATTAAATTTTACATAGATATTTATCTTTATATTATTTTCAAAATAAACAAGATACGATTTTTAATATTAGAAATGTTCTAAAATATATCGCATCGGATATCGTAAAAAGGGTACGGAAATACATTAAATCATTTGATGCGTCTCATGCAAATTCTTATCGCGTATAACTATTTCGACAAACATTACTACAATTTTGCAACCTTTTACTCGTAAATTTATGACAATTATTTTATTAAATTACTGGTTTCTACTTAACAACATTCACATTTTTATGTGGCTACTACGTTTAAAAAAATATTTATTTTGTTTATTCATCCAAAAATCGCTCTTTACAAATATTTGTGTAATTTTTTGAAACACGAATATTATTTACACAATTTTTATTTATATACATTTATATTTATATTATGATAAAATAAGAGAAACACGATTCCGAAATATAAGAACCATCAATTGTAAAATAAATCACATCGCATCAAAGAGTGCATATAGCACCGCGTTAAATTATTGTTGCATTTGATGCAGCTCGTGCAAATTCTCATTACACAATATTATATCGACATATATTTCTTTATAAAATATTTGAGAAGCAGTCGTCAGAAAGCAAATTTCGAAAGCCGCTGTTGCTCGTCAAAAATTGCGACCCGTAAACACAAGCTAATAACACTGCTTCGAGATAGCCTTGATCACTGCAAGCTCCGTGTACGCGATTATCATATCGCAGCCCATCATAGTTATCTTCGTGGAATTAAATCGTCAAAAAAAAGCCTTTTTTGGTATTAAATTTCGATTAAAAGAGAGTTTGAAAAGTGACTATTTTCACAAATGTAAAAATTTGCGTTCAAGTCGCTCTTTTTACTTTGCTCTCGCAGTTGCAATACTGATTCAGTGGTCATCAGTGTCCTGCTCCTTAGCGATGTACCGATCGTATTTTGCTCCACGTTTTGTGTTATTACACAGAAAAATGTTACTAATAGAATAGAAAGCAAAAATATTGTAACATATATAATCTTTACATTGCAAAACATTTCATATATCAAAGAACCTATAATATTTTACAACGTAAGCATTACATTAAAAATTTATACGCAAATACACGGGGAAGTATGTTTTTTCTTAATTGCATTACATGCGAATTAAAATTTAACTTTCTTTTAATGCTAGTTTAATTTATGTGAGCCAACATATTTAAAAAGTTTTTCTTATTTTCTAGGGGCATACTAAATATTTGTAAAAAAAAAATTAAATAAAGAATTAATTTTTATATGTATCACTCAAAAAAATATTTCGCTGATGTAGTTAGATTTCTAGATATCGCAACAAGAATGTATCGCTATTTTTCGTATCTGTGAAAACATTGTTTGTCACATATAGAATTTATAGCAGTAATGTTCTAGCAATAGCTTCTGAAAAATTTAGGTACCATTGCTAAATGTTATTCATTGCATGATCTAACACGTGATTGATCTTATATAGATAAGCGCTTTAGAGAAACTTTCTTTTTAAAGTTCACAAACAATACAGATATATATTCTATTTCTGTTATCTAAACTGATTAAGTAATTACATATGCAATATCACAACAGTTGCTAATCATTTATCTGTTTTAGTTAATTTTTTACACCTAGAAAATTTTAGTTATTATTGCAAGATCATTTTTTTGAGTGAATACTCAATCGTGTATAATTATTGAATTTAACTTATAAACGTTAGTTTCTGATTGTGTTGTTAAATAAACTTACAAAAAATTATAAATATAATAGTCAAATGATATAGTAAGCATCTTGAATATTCATCTTAAATATTCAGTTTAATTGTTTATCTTGAATATTTTTAAATTGCATAAAGAAATCGTCTGACATTTGTAACAGCATGCTTTTTGTTAATGATAAATTTATTTCTTATTCTACTGACAGCACTATCAATTCCATAGGCTAAGTGTAACTAGAAAATTTAAATTGACATATTCGTATTTCACCAATAATTATTATCGTATTAGTATTATAGTTCGGAAACCTCTAATAATATAATAATAATTAAGGAGTCATAATGAATTTAAATTACCTACAGTACAAAGAATGTTCAAAATACATGTACGACAAAACTAAACGTAGAAATATAAAAAATAAAGTTTAAAGTAAAATATTGTGACTGCGTTGAATAACTAACTGTCCATAAAACAAATTTTGTGTCTACCAAAAAGTCAAATGTCAATTCGTAATATTGTTTTACTTTATAAAATTATAAGTACGGTTTATAAACTTCAAGTAGATACATAAGCAAAATATATCAAATACATTCAACACATGTACTTAATAAATTTTTAAAATGTTTGACTGCACTTTTTATAAAACGTATTGATAAACATTTTTATAATTTTATGATCATAAAACGAACAATTACACGTCAGAAACATATTATGTTCCTTCCTCACATTACAGATTATTTTAATCGCCAAAGTCAAAACTGCCGGTTAGTGCTGGTTGTCGTGCTTCTTAAACGCCGTTATTCCCATTATCAATCTTTGAATAAATCTATGAAAACATTAATAAAATTTGCTTGAAAAACCAATTGTGTGGCAATTGTTTGGTTTTGTTCTGCCAAAATGCGACTCAAACAATATCTGAGATTAATTATATGTACTTATAATTATGTTGACAATAATTTCAATAAAACTTACCTTTTTTCTCCAATTTTGTTGACTTCCTGACGGTCCAGCTGTGTCTTCAAAATGATGTGTATGCTGATTAAAATGCGTCAGTTTAACGTCAAGTGATATTTCGGTTCCACAAATATCACATCGCACCTCAAAATCACTACTTTTTTTACAATATTTCCACTCCCAATCCAAGTCGTGAACGTAGTCATTATTTCTGTCGATAGAATGCGAAAAATACAAGTGTTTTTCTAAACGTCCAGAATAATACGGTAAATGTGCTCGGCAGATAATACATTCTGATGTAAATAGGATGTAATTCTTAAAATACATCCAAGGCCATCCTTCGCCGCATCTTTCTTCGCATATACTAACTATATCATGTTTCTCTACATGTTGCCTAAAGTTTGTAATGTCAATATAACAATCTTGAAAATCGCATGATTTGCATCTTGCTTGGAAATTCTGTAATATTTGGTAATATTGAACTAGTTCACTTTTATTTGCAATAGTCGGTGGCATAGACATTGCGTCCATTTGCATACTTTTCAATTTGTCCAAATGTCTCTTACCTTTTAAATGTCTATTTAATGTTGATAAAAGAGAAAGAGTTATAGTTTGGTTACAATTCACTATTTTACACTTTACTGTAAAAGTACCATTTTGTGTATAGTATTCTTTTTTATTTTTGGTTGTTTCATAATGTGCAATTTCGTCCGCAGAA